ATAGCCCTATTACCTTTATGAAAAATGCTCTCCTGAACAATCTGTTTTACATCGTTTGTGGACGGACAGAAGCGTGGGATTTCCCCAGCGAACAACAAGGACGTGTACATTCATGCCTTAAGAACAGGATTTTCTGGATTCTAAACTCTTATCCAGAGTACTTTTAGTTTGTCTCTGTGTAAGCAGGGTGCATGCTAATTGACTAAAGAGGACAGCAGGGTTTGACCCAGAGCTAAATGGAAAGAAACGCAAGGGATAGGGTGGGGATCACAGTTTCCTCCTTTACTAACAGTGCGAGGTGGGGGGGGGGAGACAGTTATCAACGGAGTGTAACACTGAAAGATCATGTCAAGTAATCTTTTCCGCAGCCTATGCTTCTGTAGGCCTGCAGCTGTCCTCCAAGAAACTATGAATAAAACACTGGATTTCCAGCAGGCGTTGATGCTACCTTGTGGGCGCTTGGTGGTACAGCACCACCAACACCACCAACAAAAACTCCTTTTTTGGGAGCGCTGTTGGACTCCAATTTTATTCTCACATCTTTTTGTTAGCTCTTGCATTTAGGTGCTAATCTGCTGCCACCCATTCCAACTTCAGCTCTGCATATGCAGCTGGCCCTGAGTGGCCTCTCCTAAGGGCTTACCCCCCCACCCTCTTTTCTCCTGTAACTAACTTTTGAGATTTTATTCCAGTTTTGTCGGAAGAAGTGTGTTTTGCACACAAAGCCTTACACTTTGAATAAAACTTTGTTGGACTCAAAGAAGAGCTGGTTTTTATACCCCGCTCCTCACTACCCAAAGGAGTCTCAGAATGGCTTACAATCACCTTCCCTTCCTCTCCTGGCAACAGACACCCTGTGAGGTAGGTGGAGTGGGGCTGAGAGAGCTCTGAGAGAACTGTGACTGGCCCAAGGTCACCCAGCTGGCTTCCTGTGGAGGGGCGGGGAATCAAACCTGGTTCTCCAGATTAGAGTCCACCACTCTTAACCACTACACCCAACTGACTTGACTCAAACTTTGTTCAAAAATCCTTCCAGTCACAGAACTGTGTCGGATCTCGATTTCAAAACAGCCTTGCAGCTCCAAGTACCATCCTACACACCCTCAATCCGGAAGTAAACCCCTTTAATCGTAGTGCAGCATAGTTCCAATTAGACACGCATGGGATACTGTTGCAATGCAGGCTGCAGCTAAACAGTTACAGTTTTCTAAGCCCATGCACTTCAATGCACCTTCAAGGTTTGCACTGTGCGTCTAACCACTAAGCGAACCACTTCTCTTCTGAATTGGATTCCGCGGCAACTTATATAATGCAAATGATCGATGCATACCGAGTGATTCAAAGCAAGTTGCCTCAAAAGCAAGCCCGGCGGAGTTCACCGGACTCACTCCCAAACCAAATACACATACTTGCACGTCTACTCTGGAATCATCCCCATTGATCATAGTGGGACTTCCTCAAGAGCAAACATGCAGAGGTTCGGACTCGATTAGCTAAGCGTCATGCTCCCGTGACCCGTTTGGCAGGCTGAGTGCCGCCCATCAGATCTCTCTTAAAGGCCCAGGCGCACGCCGACCCTTTTCTGTGCTGGTCAGTCGGCAACCTTTACCACCCCCCGGCAGCCGAACGTCTTCTTAATCCCTTGCGCACCGGTGCCTACTCTGCATAGTCGCGTAATGACGCTTTGGCACCGGAACCGTCTGCAAGCAAGATGTTTCCGAAACTACTGGCCTTTAGCAAAACATTCGTTTGCAACCAGGCTTGTTTTGCATAGCCCCACCCCCTGCCGCCATCCAATGAAGCCGCCTCCTGCATGATAAAGACATCGCGTGATGCATAGGGGAGGGCGTAAGTGCGCTGTCAGCACCATCACGTGAGAAGGCTGGCTGTGGTAGTCACGTGGACTTGGGCACCAGCTGGAGCAGAGTGGGTGCCCTATGGCAGGTGCCGGTGTTTTGCAGCAGCGGCTTGTGGGGTTGGAGGAGAGAGTACGCCATTTGCGCAACGAGGGGGACCCTGATGGTAAGACGAAGAGGCGGGTTCTCCGGATCCTCTTTGTTTCTGTGCGTTTTCCTGCTCCACCTTAATTATTCCACCACGCTAACTTATCCACCTATACCCTTTCCTGTTATCCTTTCTCGGTGAGCCCTGTCTCTATACACACGTTACATTGCACGTGTGTACCCATGACTTTTCTTTGTATGCGTTTAAGTAATTCTTACATTTCATTCATTGCGTATTTGGCCGAATGCATGATGCGTGCCCTGCATTTATTCTGGGTTTTTCACTTAATAACTTGTGAGGGTTATGATCCAATGTGTGCCTATTCAAGCCCTGAATTCAGTAGGGTTCTGTTGCAAGTTGGTTATGTAGGATCCTCGTTTCGGTTGTAATGTATTTTGAATTCATCACTTTCTAATGGGAGTTATAATCCTGTGTTATGTGAGAAGAGTAAGCAATCTTGTGTTATAAGTGAGAAAAGTAAGTGATGAAGGATTGGAATTTCTGTGTAATGCACCAAAACATATCTTTTTCTGTTAAGAAGACTTCCTGCGTTGGAGCTCATGTCTCTTTTAACAATACAGCTCTGACTCCCAGCATTCCTTCTTACAAGTTTCTCTCAAAGCGCTCTGTACCTTCCTGCTGTAAATTGATTGTCACCACAGCCTTCCGCGTTAGAATGGTTGTTATGCCCCAAATTTCAATAGGATGTTTCTCTGCCTTGCTTGTCCGAACTGCCTCCCTCAAAATCTGCTGTCTCTTTCATCCCTTACCCCCTTCACTTTATCATCTGCTGCTAAGAAAAGGGTTAAGCAAGTTTTATTATCTGTTGTAACTGGGTGATAACACTGGCAAGCTTCCTGTGGAGGGGGAATGTATAAATATAATGGTGTCTGCTGTGAATAAGAGACTTGAAGGGGAGTGTTTCACCTACAGTTAGATTTGGGGAAGGCTTGTGGCTTAGAGGGTAGAGCACCAACTTGGCATGCAGAAGGTCCCAGGTTCAATCCCCAGCATCTCTAGTTAAGGATCCGGCCATAGGTGTGAAAACATCTGCCTGAAAACCTGGAGAGTCCATCTCTGTAGACAGCGATGACCTTGATGGACCAATGGTCTGATTTAGTAAAAGGGAGCTTCATGTTTTATTTATATTATTCAGACCACGGCTAATTAATATAAGGAAGGCCGAGCGCCGAAGAATAGATTCTTTTGAACTATGGTGCTGGAGAAGACTCTTGAGAGTCCCTTGGACTGCAAAAAGATCAAATCAGTCATTCCTAAAAGAAATCAACCCTGACTGTTCCCTGGAAGGCCAGATAATGAAACTGAAGCTCAAATACTTTGGCCACCAAATGAGAAGGGAGCACTCACTGGAGAAGACCCTGATGCTGGGAAAGATTGAAGGTCAAAGAAGACGGGGACGGCAAAGGATGAGATGGTTAGACAGTGTCACAGATGCAACGAACATGAAATTGAGCCAACTTCAGAGGACGGCGGAAGACAGGAGGGCCTGGCGGGAGCTGATCCATGGGATCGCGAAGAGTCAGACTCGACTGTGCGACTGAACAACAAATTGTGTAGAATAGCCAGGAGATCTTAAGATTGTCTGGCTGCGTTGTGCACCACTAGGTGGCGGCCTAGACTTGTTTTTAAGGCAAGAGACTCTTCAGAGGTGGTTTGCCATTGCCTGCCTCTGCTCTATGCTCCTGGTGTTCCATCCAAACACTACCCAGAGCCAACCCTGCTTAGCTTCTGACATCTGACAGGATCAGGCTAACCTGGGATATCCAGGCCAGGGCAGGCCATAACTACTGAAGTCTCATGCTGCTAAGTGGAAAGAATGCTAATTGCACAACGATGTTCTCTTTATTCAGATATTTATTTGTGCTCTGCGTTTTCTCCTGGATGGGGATCCGAAGCCGCTTACAGCACCATTCGCTCCTCTTGCATTTTAGCCTCAGCACAACAACTCAGTGAGGTAGCTCAGGCTGAGGTCACCCAGTGAGTTTTCATGGCAGAGTGGGGATTTGAACCTGGGTCTCCCAGATCCTAGCCCAAGACTCTCAACCCCTACACAAGGCTGGCTTAATGAGGTCTTCCTGTCTTTATTTCATCAACAGACCCGTTCTTGACGCAAGCTTCTGCTACTCTGGAAAACTTGAAGCAGCTCTCTGAAGATGGTGGAGAGGACAGCACCTTTTCCAACCTCGTGCAGCTTTATGCTCAGGTATTAGCAGGGGTAATTTCGTAGAAAAAGAGGTGCAGGGGCTCATTTGCATAACTCATTTGCATATGCCACCCCCCCTGACATCACCGGAAGTGTGTCAGAAGGCCACACCCACCGCTCAGGCTCCACTGGACTGTTTTGGATTGCTAGCTATTGGGGGGGGGGGACGTGCAGATCTGTCCTTGCAGAGGAGGGAGAGCTTCTACCTGAATAAAACTTGGTCTTAAAGGTGCCACTGGACTGTTTGGGGCTGGGGGGTGGGCTCTGCAACTTACCTGGCTGCTTCTTGCTCTGACTGAGGGCTGCTGGGAGCAGGGGGCGGGGCTTGTTGCATGTGCCCACCCCCTGAGCTCTTTACTGCCGGAGCTCCGCTCCTATGCGCTCCTGCAGGAAATGACCCCTGGGTATTAGGCTGTAATGAAAGGTCGGCTTTCTCAGATTGCTGTTCAAAAGCAGCCTGACACAAATGGCAGCAAGGGTTGGAACCCACCAGCTATTCTTGTGGGCAGTAGGGGAGGTGATTGGCTGATTTCCCCCGTCCCAGCATACCTCTGACACACCTTTCATATCTTTGTCTCCCAGGAGCAACATTTGGGGGAGGATCCTTTCTGGCTGCAGAGGGGCCGGGGGGGGGGGAAGGGGGAATCCTTCCTGCAGTGGAGATTTTTAGGCAATACTGAGCCATACTAAGGGTGCCCACGGACCGATTCTCTGTAAATGGGAATGGCCGGATCCACACGGACTGCTGTGCTGTCACGTTATTTTCAATTGGTAGCTTACAACCTTCACTGTTCTGAAATCTGCTCAGACGACTTTTTCCAGACTTACCCAGATGACCCGAGTAATTAAATTTGGTCATATGTGCTGGAACGGAGTCTTGCCTTTTAAAGCAGTGCAAGCTCGGACAGCCTTCAAGCCTCAGTACTGCGTACCGGAGCAAGCTGGTTACATGAAGATCTGCCGTTGGGTTCTGAGCTCTTAAAAAACAAAAAAAGGTTCACACCTGCCTGGAAACCCTGCTCCTTCCTCCTAAGTACAGCAGAACTGGCAATAGGTTAGTCAGATTTTAAGGAAAGATTATGGTCTGCAATGTTCCCCTTTATTTGTGAAGAAAATCTCCTGAAGAGATTCCAGAACGTTAGTCTGTTATTTATTTACATTATTTATATCCCACCTTTCTCTCCAATGGGGACCCAAGTCTCCTCCATTTTATCCTCACAACAACCACCCTGTGAGGCAGGTTAGGCTGCGAGTATGTGACTGGCCCAAGGCCACCCAGCAGGATTCCATAGCAGAGTGGAAATTTGAACCCAGGTCTCCTAGATCCTAGTCCGACACTTTAAGCACTACCCCATGCCGTCATGGTGTTGTACAAATTAAGCACCGCACACAGTTGGTTTTTTAGTAGCCCCACCGCTGTGTTAGTGATCTTAAAAATGGCTGGTGTGGGAATCCTTAAGAAGAAGAAGAGATTGGATTTATACCCTGCCCTTCACTTGGAGTCTCAGGGCAGCTTACAAACTCCTTTCCCTTCCCCTCCCCACAACAGACACCCTGGGAGGTGGGTGGGGCTGAGAGAGCTCTGACAGAAACTGCTCTTTTTCAAGGACAGCTCTTATCAGAACTATGGCTTGCCCAAGGTCATCCAGCCAGGTGCAAGTGGAGGAGTGGGGAATCAAACCCGGTTCTCCCAGATTAGAGTCCGCGCACTTAACCACTACACCAAACTGGCTCTCTGAGGACTCGTGCAGACTGGGAGGTATCTGCATGACACGCCAAAGGCTTACTTGGTACAGACCAGAAGATAACTTGACAAAGCTGAAGTGTCGCTCAGGAAGGGCTGAGCAGGTTGCAGGTTACTAAACTTGTATTTTTGTAGGCAGTTCTGGACATCACCTACTTCGAGGAAAACCAGCTGGTCGATGAAGATTTTCTAGAAGGCTCATCTTTACAGAAGGTTGAACAACTGATCCATGTGCTTTCGGAGCCAGAAACCTTGATCAAAGAAAGTGGCGAGAATGAAGTGAGTACTGAGCCAGAATTGCTTGCACCTCGAGAGACCAACAAGATTTCCAGGATAGACCCTTTTGAGAGTCAGCGTTCCCTTTTTCAGACACAAGGAGCTGGTATCTAACGAACAGAGCTTTTATTCTTGAAAGCTTTATCTCTTGAAAAACTTGTTGGCCTCTTCAGTCCTACTGGACTTGAATCTTAACTGTTCAACTGCAGACCAACACATCTGTCCTCTGAAAGGTTCCATGCAATCCTGCGCATGGGAGTCAGCACAGCACAGAAGTAAATAAATCAGCAGTGCAATCCTTAGGGTACTTTCCTGGGAGGAAGTCCCATCCAGTAGAACAGGAGTCTGACGAGATCTGCTTAGGAATGCTCTGCAAGTGACTTCTCTGTCCACCACCAAACCGCAGTTGAAAAGAACTTAATATTAAAGGCCTCTGTGCAGTTTTTCAGGTTGGTGCTAAAAGTAGATATTTGTGAGAACCCGGAAAATGGCATCTGTTACTACCTTGCAAAAATAACATATTTTTTTTAATGTAAGTCTTGGGATGTTTTTGAAAGGGAGACCTGTAATTGACAAAGCTCGTTTTAGGGATCAAAAGGGATAAAGGGGCCTGGGTATAACACTACGAGGTAACAGAACAAAGTTGGAGTCCAGTGGCACCTTTAAGACCAACAAAGTTTTATTCGAGGTATATAAGCTTTCGTGTGCATGCATACTTTTTCAGGCACGTTGAAATGTACATTGCGAGTCCCTACATATAGGTAGACGGTGAGCAGCAAATTAGCATACAACATAATGAAGTTGTGTGACAGACGCAAGGACCAAACTGGAACAACAAGCTTGGTTTATACGGTCACCATTTGTTTGGGTTTAATTTGTGGGGAAAACATAGTGAGGGAAATAAATATATCAGAATTGGATAGAATCCTTGCGTCTGCCAAACTACTATGTTAACAGTTCACCATGCTAGCAGAAAGTGTCTCTGAATGCAAAACAGTGCTTGCATTTGCACTTTTTGTTGGATTGCCACAGGATTTAATTGATGTGGGTCTTATTTCAGCCGCTTGCTGTGCTTGGTGTAGAATTACTGGAATGCCTGTACTGGAGAAGAGGAGCCTTGCTCTACATGTTTTGTCACACAGTTAAAGGAAGGAAAGAATGGTTAATGGACAAGATGGAGACCTTTAAGAAGGTAAACACCCCTTCAACTTCAAAGCAGCTGTAACAGAAGTGCCCGCTTCTGTAAGCATAATGCCAGTCCTTCACAGTTTTCATGACAGCATAAGCTGTGAGTATCATTTCATTTATGAAGCTGCCTTATGTTGTATCAGACCGTTGGTGCACCATGGTATGTCCTCTCAAACTAGCAGCAGCTCCCCAGGGTATCTGGAAGAGATCTTTCATATTGCCTCATACCTGCCCCCCCCCCTTTAACTGGCAATGCCTGGGATTGAACCTGGGACCTTCTGCGTGCAAAACAGATGCTCTACCACTGAGCCACAGCCCCATTCCACTCCAAGGTCACTTTATCCCTTTGTAGTGTACATCCATGAATACCTTGGTGGTAAATTCAGCTACTGGCCTGTATTGTATAGCCTTGACTCCTCTTATGAAGTCCTCACTGTGGATGACTCTTTTGTTCATTTAATATTTGTAAGCAGTCCCATGGAATTTGGAAGAAAGCTGGGGCATCCTCGATATGTAGGCCTGGCGGGATCTATGCATGAGGGTATGGGGGGGGCAATTAAAAAAGTGATGGTACTGTTATGGGGTCTGCCACCCCCAATGGGAATACCTCAAGATCCTCTGGCTTTCTGATGCCAGAGGTTCAGGGAAAATACACCCCAAAAACTTTTTACCTTAACGGGGGGGGGGGAAGCATCTAGTATGATTTTAAAGTCCTGATCTGGATGGCCCAGGCTAGCCTGATCTCATCCGATCTTGGAAGCTAAGCAGGATCGGCCCTGGTTAGTACTTGGATGTGTCAGAGACTTGCAGGAATCAGGAATCAACAACAGGCTTTCAATGGAGTTTCAGTTTATTGTTCCAGGATAGGCAAGTCATCCATACACATTCAGTGTCAGAACTAATTCAAAAAGCGGGAAAGGGTCGATTATACCTGGTTCAAAGTGGGGTCTCCTGATGGCTCAAAGCCAATCAGGGAAGCAGCCTTTACGCGCCTAAAATGAACGGGTTCACATTCCGAGGGAAAGCAGTGCAGCAGACACCAAGGTCAAACAACGATAAAAGGAATACTGAGAATCAAACCAAACATACCAGACCTGAAAGAAGACACAAATCAACCACCTCCCCCTCCACCAGCCACAATGGCAGCATAAGTGACAGGATGGCAGACCACCAAGGAATCCCAGGGTCACTGTGCAGAGGCAGGCAGTGGCAAACCATGTCTGAATGTCTCTGGCCTTCAGAACCCTGTAGGTTCTTAAACCATAGTTCGTTTCTCGGTTCATACCCATCCCTACTCTGTAGTCTTGCAGTGAATGTAGTCCTAAACTGTCTCTGTTCTGCTTTAGTTCCTCCGTGAAGGAGCTAATTACTTGGTGAAGATGCTTGGCTTTAGATGTTCTGTTAACCCCAATGAGGAATTTGCATATCAGGATGCAGACACGGGTAGACTGCTCCATGAAGGTAAATATTAGGCGTACTGTTTTCCTTTCCAGTCTTTTCCTCTATAGGACTTTTAAAAGAAACATGAAGTGCATGGGGAAAAGGAAGCACTAAGTTAGAAAATTAGACAGTGGAAAATTAAGGCCGTGACACTATTTGGTGTCTGTCATGATACCAACAGGACAACAAGTTACCAAGTTATTAAGGAACTCTTGGTCTGGGGCAAGTGATGCACTGTATTCTTGATGCTGGGGGGGGGGGGCAGCAACAGTGGGAGGGCGTCTAGTGTCCTGGCCCCACTGATGGACCTCCTGATGGCACCTGGTATTTTTCGCCACTGTGTGACAGTGTTGGACTGGATGGGCCATTGGCTTGATCCAACATTGGCTTCTCTTATGTTCTTACGTAGAAAAATTTCTTGTTAATAGAGCAGCTTAAGTTGCAGATCTCTGGCAAATGGCTGAAGTAACCTTTTTATCCCTGATGGAAACAGTAGGACTCTTAAGAGTCTTTGGCATGACCATCTCCACTTTACAAATCCACTGTAAGAATTGTTGCCGAACAGCAGCCAAGTCTCCACTTAAGTGTGAACTAACACTGCCCTGTCAGTCACTCCCAGATCTGTAAAATGGGTGCAATGTTGACCTCCTTTATCAGTGGTTAGTGCACTGAGCAAATGTATTGTGAAGTCCTTTGAAAACTTGTATTAAATATATAGGAAAAAACAGTGCCACAACACTGGGGAAAAATGAATCAGATAAAATTTTCTGGCACATTATTCCCTGCATCACTTGCTGGAGGAGAGGGGCTCAGCACACCGTGTGGGGCAGCTTAGCACAATTGTTTGGGTCCAGTTGAATGTTTCTGTGGACAGAATTTCTGCCTGCAAAGTAGGACTTGCTTGCTTTCCTGCTCATACGCCGGTGTGGGGTGAGAAAGTTGGCCTCCACGGGCTAAGATAATTCTGTCTGTGGAGACACTCCTGCTGATCCAAGCCATATCACTGGCAACAGAGCATTTAAGTGAAGAAGCTTGCAGTATGTATGGCAAGCTGTGAGTGCAAGAGATGAAATCCCATATTACAATCAGCTACTTATAGTCTCTTTAACCTTGCAGGAATACTTGTGGTCAAGGAGAAAGCTTTTGACCGCAACCTCATGTTAGAATAGTTTCACTCACTGTCCTTCCTAGTACATCTTCATTCATGTTCCCCCCCCCCCGCATTATTTTACTATGAGGAATTTCACATAGCCTTTTTAAGCCGGTTTGAAGCCGTTTTTTATTTGTCGTGGAGTAAACCGGTATAGGGCTGCCATTTCACACATGGCTTTCCCCTACTGGTAAACAGCTGGATCTGAAGCGGCTTGCCATTTCAGACTGCACTGCTTTTTCCTGCCGCTTTTGGCCCACGCGTGCGATCTCTGGCTTTTTTTTTTAACGTTCGCTTTAGAGTGCTATAGCGCTATAACACAACACTCCAGGCATTCCAATGGGGTTGCTATAACGCTGTTTTACTCTTGTGTTATAGCGCTCTAAAGTGAACATTTTTTAAAAAGCCGGAGATCGCCCACACGGGCAAAAAACGGCGGGAAAAAGCGTTTTGGATCCGGGAGAAGAAACTGAAGACTACTTGGAAGTGGTTTACAGATAAAACGGTTCAGCCCCGTTTCCTGAACAGGACAGAAGCGTTTGTGTGTGAAAGTACAAATATATTCCAGTAGGGAACCGGTTCTAAAACAGTTCTGTCTGAAATATCAGACCAGAAACCTTTTGGGAACTGTTCCTGAACCAGAATATATCGCCTGTCTGAAATTCCTCTATATCTGTACTAGTGTACAGTTTGGAATCAGTTTGGTGTAGTTAGGAGCGCGGACTCTAATCTGAGGAAGCTGGGTTTGATTCCCCACTCCACATGCAGCTGCTGGTGTGACCTTGGGTCAGTCATAAGTTCTTTCAGAGCTGTTCTCTCAAGGGCAGTTCTCAAGAGAGCTCTCTCAGCCCTGCCTACCTCACAGGGTGTCTGTTGTGGGGAGGGGAAGGGAAAGGGATTGTATGCTACTCTGAAACTCCTTCAGGTAGTGAAGGGCGGGGTATAAATCCAATCTCCTTCTTCTTTTCTGAGACCAGCACTTTCCTTCCAGTCTGAGATTTGCACAGAAGTTCAAAATTTTGTGTGAAAATATTCCCGCAACACAAACGCAGTAAAAAATCAGAGTTAATATAGGTAAATATGGCTAATTCAAATGGATAACTTTGCCTGGCTCTTAAGCTACTGCCTCCCCCAATGTCTCATTTTATAAGAATAATCAGTATCTGTAACTTGATCAATTTTAACCATTTTTCCCCTCCCCTTCCACTGGCAGGCATTTTTAGTGACACCCATCTGCTGGCTATGATGTACAGCGGAGAAATGTGTTATTGGGGACTGAGTTACTTTGGAAAAGGAAAACCACAACTGCAAAGCACAGATTCTGGATCTGACAGCGAACAACACTGTAGTGCACACGCTGAAGCTCTGGACTTTCGGGATACAGGAGAGAAAATGTTGCAAAAATATGTTGCTGTGTGTGAAGGACCTTTAAGAGCACACGAGTGGAATACCACAAATGCAAGGCTTATTTTGGACTACTTTAAACAGCTGTCAACCTAATTTACTCATGCAGGTGTCTGTCTGCTCCGAAGAAGAAACATTAAACTGGCAAGGAAAAAAAAAACCTTTTAAGCCTCAAGATTCCTAAAAATGCATTTCTTGTGCCTTTTTAAAAACATCCATTTTAGTGTGCCTCTGTAGGTGAAGGGCATACATTGTTATCAGCAGCACCGTTTTCTCTAGCGTAATCTTTCTGATGCTGATGGGGTACAGTAAGTCAGCACTTACTGTAGTGACCGCACATATGGGCATCACAGTGTACACAACTGCCACAGTGGGGATCACTACGGTAAGTGCTGACTTATGCAGTTGTCTTCAACCAAGCTAGGTTGTTGGTAACAGCTGTCCAGAGAAAGATCTTTTGCAACACATGAGTGTCTTTAAATGGGACCCAACCTGGGATATCCAGTATTTGAAGCATGACTCTACAGCTAAGGCACAGCCCCTTCTCTCCCCAGCACACAGAAAACTGACTGCTCTGATTGTGTACAGAGAAAAGTACAATATTGCCACCTTGCAGAGAAGTATGGTTTTCCACAACAAATCTGTGTGCCTGTCTTAGCTGCCTTGGAACACAAGCATGGAGCTGCCTTGTCTTTAGGAGCCTCTTGTCTTCTGATCTTCCAGCCTGAAACAGAGCAGAAAGGCATGAGGCCTGCAGAATACAACCCCGGCCTCTGGAAAGCATGAGGCTCATGTGTGCCATGGCCTTTCTCCCTTTCTTCTCAGTTTGGTGTGAGAGCCAGTTTGGTGTAGTGGTTAAGTGCGCGGACTGTAATAGGGAGAACCGGGTTTGATTCCCCACTCCTCCACTTGCACCTGGCTGGATGACCTTGGGCATGCCATAGTTCTGTCAGAGATGTTCTTGAAAAAGAGCAGTTTGTGTCAGAGCTCTCAGCCCCACCTACCTCACAGGGTGTCTGTTATGGGAAGGGGAAGGGGAAGGAGTTTGTAAGCCGCTCTGAGACACCTTTGGGTAGTGAAGGGCGGGATATAACTCCAATCTCTTCTTCTTCTGATTCCCCACTCCTCCACTTACAGCTGCTGGATGACCTTGGGCAAGCCATAGTTCTGACAACAGCTGTCCTTGAAAGGGCAGTTCTTGAAAGTGCTCTCTCAGTCCCACCTATCTCATAGGGTGTCTGTTGTGGGGAGGGGGAAGGGAAAGGAGTTTGTAAGCTGCTCTGAGACTCCCAAGTGAAGGGTGGGGTATAAATCCAATCTTCTTCCTTCCTCATAATGCTAGACCCTGGGGTCATCCACTGAAACTGAAGGGTGGGAGATCCAGGGACAGACAAAAGGCAGTCTTTCTTCACACAGCATATAGTTAAATTGTGGAACTCGCTGTCTCGGGATGTGGTGATGGCCAACTTGAAAGGCTTGGAAAGGGGAGTGGAGAAATCCATGGAGGATGGGGCTATCAGTCATGCTGGATGTCTACTCACTCCAGGACCAGAGGCAGTATGCCCCTCTATCAGTTGCTGGGGGGAGGGGAGGATGGGCAGAAGTTTGCTGTTGCAGTCATCCTGCTTGTGGGCTGCCTAGAGGCAGCTGGTTTTGAAGCTATACACATGAACTCAAGCTCGGGTTGCCAGCTGTGGATTTGAAAGTATACACATGAAGGTGCCTCCTACTGAATCAGACCCTTGGCCCATCAAAGCCAGTACTGTCCACTCAGACTGGCAGTGGCTCTCCAGGGTCTCAGAGTCCCTCCCTATCACCTGCTGCCTGGTCCTTAACTGGAGATGCCAGGGACTGAACCTGGTTGGCCACCCTGTGAACAGAATGCTGGACCAGATGGGCCTTGGGCCTGATCCAACATGGTTCTTCCGTTCTTACGTCCCACAGCTGTCAGGAAATGTTTTTTTTCCTGTCAGCCTCACTTCCCTATCTGTAGCGAGAATACAAGCAAGTCACCTCCCTAGGTAAGTGTGAAGGCAGCAAACCAAAACCATGTTGTGATTTTAAAACTACCATTTACTACTACTCTTCTTTTTTATTTTTATTTTTAATATTTTATAGGGATACAGAATTTTAAAAAGGGTTAATGGAGAGAATAGAGAGAAAAAGAAAAAAAATCAATGTGTTACATATATTGTAGCACGGAGAAAGGGGCCTGGGCCCAAGGAGAAGACCGACCAGTCAGCGGGAGAAGAAGCAAAATCTGATGTCAGGTTCAGCAAGCGCTAAAGGCTTAAAATGGCTGAACCCCAGACTGCACAGTTTCAAGGCTTTTTATACAGTTACAAGTTGCATGTCACACAAGCAGAGCATAAGCAGTGGAAACTTTTCTTTACACCAAACCTCTTTCCTGTTACAGGATATGTCTTCATTTTCAGTGCCCCATCTCATTTTGCTTGCTTTTACAAGTTACTTCTAAAACTAGGCGCCTACACACCTGGCTGCCCTTGAAGCTTGACAACAGTTTCGTTACTATGGTTACCAGGCCAATTCCAACCGCAAGTTTGCAGCAACACTACTAAAAAGGTTATGCTTTTGCAAAAAGGCTTTCAGGAAATTCAAGAAGCTGGGGTAAACAAGCTTTTAGGTAGGAGGAGAAAAAAGGGGGGTGGAGGGCTTCGAGTGACCGATGCCTGAGGTCTTGTATGGGGCAGGGCTAGTTGTATCATTTTATTTTTAATACCGCTTCACTATTAAAGACATTAATATGAAAATATAAAACATGAAGTCATTTTTTTTTATATAGAGACGCCAATGTTGGATCAGGCCAAAGGCCCATCCAGTCCAACACTCTGTGTCACACAGCAGTCAGAAATACCAGGTGCCATCAGGAGGTTCACCAGTGGGGCCAGGACATTAGAAGCCCTCCCACTGTTGACCCCCCCCCCCAAGCACCAAGAAGACAGAGCATCACTTGCCCCAGAGCCCCTATCTATACCTTGTGGCTAATAGCCACCGATGGACCTCTGCTCCATATGCTTATCTAATTCCCTTTTGAAGCCGTCCATGCTTGTAGCCGCCACCACCTCCTGTGGCAGTGAATTTCAAGTGTTAATCACTCTTTGGGTGAAGAAGTACTTCCTTTTATCCGTTCTAACCCGACCGCTCAGCAATTTCATTGAGTGCCCACTAGTTCTTGTATTGTGAGAAAGGGAGAAAAGTACCTCTTTCTCTACCTGCTCTTTCCCATGCATAATCTTATAAACCTCGATCATGTCACCCCTCAGTCGTCTTTTCTCCAAGCTAAAGAGCCCTAAGCGCTTTAACCTTTCCTCATAGGGAAAGTGTTCCAACCCTTTTATCATTCGAGTTGCCCTTTTCTGCACTTTTTCCAAAGCTATAATATCCTTTTTAAGGTGTGGTGCCCAGAACTGCACACAGTATTCCAAATGAGGTCTCACCATTGATTTATATAGGGGCATTATTATATTGGCTGATCTGTTTTCAATACCCTTCCTAATAATCCCCAGCATAGCATTGGCCTTCTTTATTGCAGTCACACACTGTCTCGACATTTTCAGTGAGTTATCCACTACAACTCCAAGATCTCTCTCTTGCTCAGTCTCTGCCAGTTCAGACCCCATCAATGTGTATTTATATTTAGGATTTTTGGCTCCAATGTGCATCACCTTGCACTTGGCCACATTGAACCCCATTTGCCATGTTGACGCCCACTCGCCCATCCTTGACAGATCCCTTTGGAGTGCCTCACAATCCTCACTGGTTTTCACCACCCTGAACAACTTTGTATCATCCGCAAATTTAGCCACTTCACTGCTTACTCCCATCTTGAAATCATTAATGAACAAGTTAAAAAGCAGTGGACCAAGTACTGATCCCTGCGGTACCCCACTGCTTACCACCCTCCACTGAGAAAATTGCCCATTTATACTCACTCTCTGTTTTCTATGAATTAGCCAGTTTTTGATCCATAAAAGGACTTGTCCTTCTATCCCATGATTTTTGAGCTTACTTAGGCGCCTTTGATGAGGAACTTTATCAATAGCTTTCTGGAAGTCAAGGTAAACAATATCTACTGGATCCCCCTTGTCCACATGTTTGTTCACCCCCTCAAAGAACACTAACAGGTTAGTGAGACAAGATCTTCCCTTACAGAAACCGTGCTGAGTCTGCCTCAATAGGTTTTGTTCATCTATGTGCCTACTAATTCTTTCCTTAATAATGGTTTCCACCAATTTACCCGGTATCGAGTCAGACTGACTGGCCTGTAATTTCCCGGATCTCCTCTGGAACCCTTTTTAAAGATGGGAGTGACATTAGCTACCTTCCAATCCTCAGGAATGGAGGCAGATTTTAAGGAAAGATTACATATCTTTGTCAGGAGATCCACAATAATAAACCGCTGTAACTATATGGACAGACGATTCTACTATTTCCACATAATAGATTTTAATTATTCCCTATGTAGAAGGCAGCGAGGGAAAAATAAGAAGAAAACAGAGTTCTCTTGATTTTGTATATAGCTTTTTTAAAAGGACATAACCATTTGCAGCGTTTCTTCTGCTCCCCTCGACTCCTTCCTTTCAGGTGCAGAACAAAGAGCTTTGCCTGAAGTTGTCATCTTTCCCCCCCTGATTTCGAGAGATTCAAGAGCAGAACGTCCTTTGACTCCCCAAGTACAGATCTATACTTTTAGGGAGGTTGGGGCTTTAGAAAGCCCGTCGGCTTAGCTCAGTAGGCGTAAAGAAGCGGAGCAGCCCGCGGCCTCAAGCCTCTTCTACCCCCTCTCCCTCGGCCGGGGCCTCGACGGGTGGGTGGAGCGAGCCGGGCCCCGATGGGGCCTGCCTGGGGGCGGAGAGGAAGCGCACCACAGCCTCCCCCAGCCAGCGCTATGCCTCTTCGCCCGTGGGACCCAGCCGAGCCGGCCGCAGCGCTCCTTTCGCTTCTCTCTCCGCCTTGCTGTGCAGGGAGGCGAAGCGGAGCAGCCGAACTCCGACACCGCCCAGCCGGACTCGCCGCGCGATGGCAGCCGGCAACAGCGGCGACTGGCACCGCTTCGAGTCCGCGCTTCGCAGCAGCCTCCGCCTCCTGCGGGACAGGCTGAGGCGGCACGGAGGACTCCCCGGCAGGGACGACCGCGCGGAGGCTGAGGAGCCAGAGCAGCAGCCGCCGCCCAGCGCCTTGCAGGCCTTGTCGGTAAGCGCGTCCTCCGTGGCCCCGGCCAACTTGGCCAGTTCCAGCGCGTCACCCTCTCCACTGACGCCGCGCTTCCGGGGGTGTTGCGTTCCCACGTTAAAGAAAATCAAGGTCACAGTCCACAATACAGTAAAGCAAAACACAAAACGAAACTGTGCAAAAAATGCTGCAGTTTGTATCTTTGATGAAGGCTTTACGAAACGGAAATTGTTAATCCGGAGAGTTTCGTCATCATTACCTTGTGAAGACTTCTTTGATTGTATGTCTGAAAAACAGATGGACTTTTGACATTACATGGAAATATAGATAGACTTTTGTGATATAAACTGCATCATTTTTTGCACATTTTCCTTTTGTGTTTTGCGATCCCACGTTACGCAGGCGGCAACCGTGAGTACCGCCTTCTCTTCCTTCTCGTTGGCCGCATCGCTTTGGGGCCGGCCGTATTGACACGCTGTGATGGTCTTCATACCGAGTGAAAGGGCCGAGCGCATGGCAAGTCGGTGTGCCGTCTTCTTCTAGGGCGCGTTTCTGAGGAACGAGGGAGGCAGGGTCAGCACAGACTTCTGTCATTCTGCTGAAGCCAAAGAGATTTGTTGTCGAAGAGTTCATTAGTTGTTGTAGATTTTCCGGGCTGTATTGTAGCACCTGACATCTTTCTGTGTTATACCTCTGAGGATGCCAGTCACAGCTGCTGGAGAAACGTCAGGTACTACAGTGCCAAGACCACGGCCATACAGCCTGGAAAATCTGCAACAACCGGAGAGACTTCTCTCCTAAACTGAAAAATAATAAAACAAAGTTTGAGTCCAGTGGCACTTTTTAAGACCAGCAAAGTTTAATTTAATCTGGAGAAGTGTGCATGCACACGAAAGCTTATACCAGAATAAAACTTTGTTGCTTAAAGGTGCCACTGGACTCAAACTTTATTCTGCTTCTTCAGACCAACAGGGGTACCCACCTGAAAAATAATAATTGTGTGCCGTGAAGCTCCCTTACTGACCCATGTCTTTTATTACCTGAATTAACAACTAAAGTGCACAACACATATTCCACCATACATAAATAAAAACATTGGAGTTGAAATACATTAGAGTTGGTCCTGACCTGGATAGCCCAGGGAAACCTGATCTCACAGATCTGGAAAGCTAAGCACGGTTGGCCCTGGCTAGTATTTGGATAGGCGACCTCCAAGGAATATCAGGGTACTGGCACAGAGGCGGGCAATGGCAAACCACCTCAGATACATTTCTTGCCTTACAAAAGAACAAATCTAGCTTGCCACCTAGTGGTGCATAACGCTAAAAGAGCCAGAACTGCTGGATGCTAAACAATCTTAGGATATCCTGGCTACACACGATGCCATACAATAATTGTTATTTTTCTTATGGAAGCAGTATGATGTGGTTAGAGTGGAGAACTAGGATCTGGGAGACTCAGGTTCGGATCCCCACTCTGCCATGGAAGCTTGCTGGGTGCCCTTGGATCAGTCACCGGTTCTCCCAGATTGGGTTGATGTGATGATAAAATGGAAGAGCAGGGAATGATGTAAGGTGCTTGATGTCCCCGTTGGGGAGGAAAATGGGATATAAATAAAGTAAATAAAAATAAATCACTTTCTACTTATTTTTCCAATAAAAAAAACCATAACACTCTACAACAATAGCAATGCACTACCTTGTCCCTAACAAGCAAAGTCTCACCATATACGCTCACCCTACATTGACCCACCAAATAAAAATCTGTTCTGAGCAATACAAAATCTATTTTTAAAAAATTCCTTATAGTCTGAAATATTCAAACCTAAAACAGTTATTTAATAAACACTGCGTTCAAGAAAACGTGATGAGTCTTCGGTTGGTGTATTGGTTTCAAATTGTCACGGTGCCAGAAAGGTGGGATATCAATGTAACAGAAGCATTATTAGCATGTGCCTGACGAAGGGAGATTGGACTCTCAAAAGCTGATAATACCCTGACACTCCTCTTGGTTTCTAAGGTGCTCCTGGACTTGAACCTAATTGTTCTACTGCAGACTGACATGGCTACAGCAGTTTGGTGTAGTGGTTAGGACCATGGACTCTAATCTGGGAGATCCATGTTTGATCCCCCACTCCTCCACATGCAGCCAGCTGGGTGACCTTGGGTCAGTCACAGTTCTCTCAAGGATAGTTCTGGAGAAAGCTCTCTCAGCCCCACCTACCTCACAGGCTGCCTTTTGTGGGGAGGGGAAGGGAAAGGCGTTTGTAAGCTGCTCTGAAACTCCTTCAGGTAGTGAAGGGCAGGTGTGACGACCCCTTATCTGGGGAGGACTGGTTTCCTTTTAAAAGTGTTCTTGATGTTTTGTTCTACTGGGTATATCCGGCTGCCACCAGGAAATTTTAAAAGGATTTCCAAACCTTTATGCTTTTACTCTTTCTATTACTGGGTGGGTAGGTCGAGTTTAAGGCTTTCTAGGAACTAATGTGGTCCTGAGGAAGTATTCCTTTCAGAACTGGTATCTCTCCTTATATATAATTGAATAGTGGGTGCCAAAGTTCTAAAATGCACTCCTTTAGTGTATGGACGCTTGAACTGTCAGTCAGAAGACGCTCGCTGGGTTGACTGGCTGCTTTGTGCAGTCCCGCCCAGTGTTTCAAGGTCTTTTGCATATGGAAGCTGATTGGCCTTCACTGCATTCCACACCTCAAACTCACCCCCCTCCCCGCAAGGCAGTTGGAATGTCAGTTGCATATGGAACCTTCAAGGTCTTTTGCATATGGAAGCTGACTGGACTTCACTCCATTCCACACCTCATACTCCCCCTCCCCGGCAAAGCAGTTGGAATGTCTGGTGGTGTGTAGGTCCCAGGATCATGTTTTAAAAGCTGCCTGGGGAGATGGGGACCTCAGACAGGTTACAGTGCCATAGACTCCACCCTCCAACCCAGCTATTTGCTCCTGGGGAACTATTGTTGCCAATCTTGGCCCAGCACCCATCAAACCACTCTCTTCAACCCCCTGCTGTGCAGCACACTTTCCCCTAGGGTTGCCAAACTCCAGGTGGGACCTGGAGATCTCCCACTGCTACAATTGATTTCCAGATGACAGAGATCAGTTTCCCCTGGAGAAAATGGATGCTTTGGAGGGTAGACCCTATGACATTATACCTGCTGTACAGAATCCACCCCCCAAGCCTCCAGGTATTTCCCTCCTTAGAGCTGGCAACCCTACATTCCCCTCAGTGCCTGTTGGTAGGCAACTAAGCTTGGTCCTGTCACCTACTTTGGCCTTTGGGAGAAAACACATTGGGGCCAGTCCTGATAGGGTTGCCAACTCCAGATGGGAAATTCCTGGAGACTTGAGGGATGGAGCCTGAAGAGGGTGAGGTTTGAGGAGGGGTGGGACCTCAGACAGGTACACTGCCATAGACTCCACCCTCCAAACCAGTCAGTCCCTCATAGGGAACCATTGTTGCCAATCTCCAGGTGAGGGCTGGAGAGCACTCAGAATTACAACTGCTCTGCAGAAGGGAGGGCAGAAGTCAGCTGAAGTCAAAGGGGCAGATAATGGTAGGTTGATGGTTAGCTGGGAAGGAGATGGGGTTGCCAACTCCACCCTCCAAACCAGCCATTTTGTCCTGGGTAACAATTGCTGCCAATCTCCAGGTGAGGGCTACAGATCACTCACAATTACAACTGCTCTTCAGGTAGCAGAGATCAGTTCCTCTGGAGAAAACAGTGGACTCTGTCATTATACCCTGCTGAGGTCACCACAGAAAATTGACACTGTTTGCCCAAAGCCAGAGCACTCCCCCAGAGCCTCTTTCTAGATCCCGTTGTATTGCTTTCACAACGGGCTTTACTGCTAGTACTTAAATAAAAGAAGATTTATTAAAATAAGTCATAAATAAAAGTGTAGAACAATGTAACCAGTAATGTGAATAATTTTAACAATTGCGTTGTGTCTCACACAAGATCTGCTCCCTTTCTGATAGGGATCTTTCAAGTAACTTTGTAACTCATTAACTCAGGGTCATATACATTTCTTGTTTCACTCCAGTCTGTCACTCAGACTTTCATATAACTTTTGTTTCCTTAAACTATACTTTACTGTTTCCTTATACATTCAACTTTTCTTCATACACAGAACTTAACTCTTGTATCACACACAAGACCGTCTCTCTTCCAGACCTCAGAACGAACTAACTTATCAACTGTCTTTTTTCAACTGTCCCCCCTGTAACTGAAACTCTTGACAGACATTCATCCACTCAGAATCACTTCCAAAACCCCTCCCCCTCTCTGTCAATCACCAATCAAACCACACTTGTCTCTTCAACCACTCTAGTCTATCACATGCAACCAAACTTTTAAAGAGGCACACACACAGAAACAAGGAATCATTACAGCGGGGTATAAATCCAATCTCTTCTTCTTCTACCCTCTGAGATTGTTTTTAAAGCCTCCCCCCCCCCATTTTCACATTCAGATTGAGGTGAAGTTATACATTCTCACCTTCCTCACACCCAAAGATTTGTATCGTCTGGGATGTACAAGTCGCTACTGGCAGCTAACAGTACAGGATCCCCTGCTCTGGAGATACCTCATCATTCGAGATCACCCTTCTTGGCGTTCTATTGACTGGAAGTCTCTCCCGGATGCAGATGTATTTAATAGATCTGTCTCTGCACTGCATGAAGGCACCCCAGCTGACTACATGGCAATGTAAGTAGCCTCTAAAACTCTTCAGCCTTCTTTTGTAGTGGGAATTCTGAGAGATAGACCACCAGAGAATCAGCAAGGAGAGTCAACAGTTGTTTTATTTGGCGCCAGGTACAGCCAAGTACCGAGAGGCGCTTTTGAACAGGGCTGCACACCAAATGAAGGTGGAGTCAGGTTTATATAGTTACAGAGTGCAAAAAAAATCATTTTCCTTGTCATTTCTTAGCAGAAAGATTATTAGAAAACATTGGCAGCGTGTTTTGAGCATTCTGTACTTTTCAAGACCACAACATCCTTGGCTGACCACACATCTAACTTGTGGGAAGGCCGAACCTGTTTATCAACAGGTATTAAATGTCTGATTACAGAAATAAAAGCAAGGTTATCATCTCCCTTAGTAACAGGCCCCCGCAACGCCTAATATGGTCATGCCTGGGTGCAAGCGTCTATGTCCTTGTATCTTGTCTTTCTACTTGCCAAAGCGATGGGTTGCCTGCGTTTCTTAATGGCCTTATAATGCTGCAAAATTGCTGTTAAATGCTTTACTTTCAGTGAAGTTACACTTTAATTTAGGCTGGTGGTCGTGCACGTTCTCTTAGTTGCTCTATTAACGTTAAGTTTATTAAGCTTTTCAGCTCTCCCGTGTTTTCCCACTCCTTGTCCCCAGGGTCAGTTTTGCTTATCAGTTCCTGAGAAGGAGCCCCCTTGATTTCAGCAGCCCGGGCTACGTGCATTCTTTCTTAAGCAAACGCGATACAATGGGTATAGCATCGGACTAGGATCTGGGAAACCCAGGGTTCTTGTGAGGTAGACTTGCTAGCTCCAGGTTGGGAAATACATGGAGATTTTGGGGGTGGAGCCTGAGGAGGGCCAGGCCTGTAGCCAGGATTTTTTTAATTGGGGGGGGGCTTTAAATAAGTCAGGGGGCACCTCGTGCACACCTCTGCGCACACAAACACCAAGGGAGCCCCTGGGCTGGATGGGAAATTGGGGGGCCTTGGCGGTAAGTCAGGGGGCCGGGCCCTGAGATGCCCCACTGCAGCTACAGGTCTGAGAAGAGCAGGGTTTGGAGAGGGGAGGGACTTCAACAACGGGGTGCAAAGCCATAGAGCCCACCTTGCAAAGCGGCCATTGTCTCCAGCTGAACTGATCTCTGCTGCCTGGAGATCAGTTGAAATCCTATGAGATCTCCAGCCACTACCTGGAGGTTGGCAACTCTATTGTGACAATAAAATGGAGGCAGGGAGAAAGATGCACACCGCTTTGAGTCCCTTGGAGGAAAGTTGGGATAACAAAATGTACGAAATAAATAAATTAAAACATCTCACTGTTCTGACATCCTTCTCTTATGGAGCCTTTGCTGCTAAATCCAGTTGTTCCGTTTTGTGGCATGTATAGGATTTCACAGACAGGTGTGTCTCCCCCCCACTGTTGCGTTTAACC